TGGTCTTTCTCCTCCGGTAGAGTGTCCACAGCCTGTCCAGTCGCAGTCACTGTTGGAGCCTTCCTCCCCACTGCCTGCTCCCTCTCCTTACACTGGTCCTACTGGAGGTCTTGCTGAGAGCGTCGTGAGCCTGCGTCTCGTCCCGCGTCGCCTGTTCGTGCTGCTCGCGCTAGTGGTCGCGGTTCGCGTCAGCGTCCTCCTCCTGTCCCTGGCACGCACCGGATGTCTCTGCGTCCGTCCACTGCTCCTCTGCGTGCCCCTTTGCCTTCTCCTCCTACTTCCTCTCATCCTGCGCTTGCTGACCCTGAGTCGGACTCCCTTCGTGCTGCCAGTCCTACTGTCACACGTCTGCTTGCTACTGTCGTCAGTGACCCCTCTTTTGAGTCCGCTGTTGCGTCTGCTCTTGTTGCTGAGCTCGTCGACTTTTCTGCTCACTGTCGTCTAGACTACGCTGCTAGTCTTGTTGCTGAGTCTGCGTCTGTCTGTCCTCTGTCCGTCGGGGGTGGGTGTGCTCTTGGCACGGACGTCCTAGAGGACAGGCAGGAGGAGTTACAGTGTCTGGCTGCTGCTTCACCTCATCTCGCGTCTGTACTGCTTGCTCCTGAGGGAGACCCGGATGCACTAGACATCCCGACTCCGCGCTCTTACGCGGAGGCCGTAGAGGGTCCCTACTCCTCTCAGTGGCAGGCAGCTATGGATGCATAGATGGCTTCCTAGAAGTCCACAGGCACCTACGTTGACGCGGTTCCCCCTCCTGGGGCGAACATCGTCAGTGGCATGTGGATCTTCAGGGTGAAGCGGCCGCCGGGCTCTCCACCTGTCTTCAAGGCGCGGTACGTCGCTCGTGGCTTCAGTCAGCGGCAGGGAGTTGACTACTTTCAGACCTTCTCTCCCACCCCGAAGATGACCACTCTTCGGGTGCTGCTGCACATAGCCGCTCAGCGCGACTACGAGCTTCACTCTCTCGACTTCAGCACTGCGTTCTTGCAGGGTAGCCTGCACGAGGAGATCTGGCTGCGCCGTCCACCTGGCTTCACTGGGACTTTCCCTCCTGGCACCCAGTGGAGCCTCCTACGGCCAGTCTACGGTCTCCGCCAGGCTCCGCGTGAGTGGCACGACACACTGAGGACTACGCTTGCGGCTCTTGGGTTTGCTCCTTCTACTGCCGACCCGTCGCTGTTTCTGCGCACCGACACCTCTCTGCCGCCGTTCTACATCCTCGTGTACGTCGACGACTTGGTCTTTGCCACAGCTGACACTACTGGACTCGCCTACGTGAAGTCCGAGCTGCTGAAGAGACACACGTGCACAGACCTGGGTGAACTGCGCAGCTACCTTGGCTTGCAGATCACTCGGGACAGAGCATGCCGCACCATTACCTTGACTCAGTCACACATGGTGCAGCAGGTCTTTCAGCGCTTCGGCTTCACGTACTCCTCGCCTCAGGCCACTCCTCTGTCTACTCGCCACTCGCTCTCAGCTCTGCCTTCGGATGAGTCCGTAGAGTCGAGTGGCCCGTACCCAGAGCTTGTTGGCTGCCTCATGTACCTGATGACCTGCACACGACCTGACCTTGCATACCCTCTTAGCATTCTTGCACGCTACGTTGCTCCTGGGAGGCACCGACCAGAGCACATGGCTGCAGCGAAGAGGGTATTGCGCTACCTGTGCAGTACGTCGGGCATGGGGCTAGTGCTTGGAGGGCGGAGTCCAGTGGTACTTACAGGTCACGCGGACGCTTCTTGGGCTGACGACCAGGCTACGCAGCGGTCGTCACAAGGTTACACCTTCTGCCTTGGCTCCGGCTCTGTCTCGTGGCGGGCTACTCGCTCGTCTTCGGTTCTCAGCTCGAGTTGTGAGGCTGAGATCTACGCCGGGGCCATGGCTGCACAGGAGCTTCGCTGGCTCACCTACCTGCTGACTGACCTTGGAGAGCCGCCTCGTTCTCCTCCAGTGCTGTACGTAGACAACAAGGCCATGCTGGCCTTGTGTCGAGAGCAGCGTCTGGAGCACAGAACGAAGCACATTGCTCTTCGCTACTTCCTTGCTCGTGAGCTACAGCAGCGTGGACAGTTGCGGCTTGCGTACGTGGCCTCTGAGGCCAACACTGCTGATGTGTTCACCAAGGCACTCGCGCCTTGTGACCATCAGCGCTTTTGCACCCAGCTGGGTCTTGTACCTGTTTTGCCTCACTTGCTCTCCTCTTGACTTTACTTGTACTGTCACATATATATACCTGCTCTTGCTTGTCTAGCTTTATATATATATGTCTGTACTCGTGCATGTGAACTGGCCTTTCGCCTTGCTCTTGTGCTCGGACTGTGTGGTGACTTTGTGATCCACCCTGAGCTTTGCTTTGCTTTGCTTGACTGGTCTTGTGACCCCTTGTTGTCCCCCACTTTGCCTATGGGGGTGTGTCAGAACATATATATAGCTTATGCTATTGTGTAGGCTGTAGTGGGGTATCCCATAGGGGGTACAACCCAACTAGGGTTTCCTATATGTACTCACTTCATTCATAGTTCATTCATTCTCGTTCTACTTTCCTCACGAAAGGCATTACTGTGTATTCGAACGACCCATACCTAGTCCTAAATGCTGTCTTGGCGCAGTCCGATGGTTCGACCCTAATCTCATGGTAACCTCCCCGTAAGTCGATTATCGAAAATACCCGTGCTGTTCGCAGCTGATCGATCAGTTCGTCGGCGCGGGGGATGGGGTACCGCGATTTGACTGTTACCCTGTTAAGCGCTCGGTAGTCGATGCACATGCGAAACCCTCCGTCTTTTTTCGGTGTGAACAGTATCGGTGCGGCGAACGGTGACGAGCTCGGTCGGATAAACTGCTTCTCTAACAGATAATCTAACTGCTTCCTTAGTTCGTCGAGCTCGGGCTGTGTCAGTCTGAACTGGCGCTGTACAGTTGGCTGTGCCCCTGGTTCTAACTCGATCCTATGGTCATGCGCCCGCTGAGGTGGCAGCCTTTGCGGTAAGTCGTATGGAAAGATCCCCGAGTATCGTTTCAATAGTTGCATTCGTTGCAACGGCATGTACAGTGGCGTGCTCGATCGGTCCCCGAGGGCGATGTCCGTAATAGGACCCCGGTCTCGGTCGGCGTAGAATGTCGATCTTCTCGGCGAGCGCGAGAATCTCGTTGAAGTTAGAGAGTCCGCGCAACATTATTTCGTGCGAGATGTCCGGCTTCAGCCCTCCGACGTAACGGTCCACCCGCTCCGCTTCGTGCATGTAGCCGACCTGCTCGCAAAGTGCGAGAAAACCGCTCGTATAATCTTGAACCGACCCGAGCTGGCGCCGAGTGCGCAATCTCTGACGCGCCGAAATCGAAGCCGCGATCGGCTCAAAGCGTGCCCGAAGCCCTGCGCACCACGCATCCCACGTGCTGTATTGGGCGGTCTCGCAAAACGAACTCCAGGTGACAGCTGGGCCCGTGGGCCCTTCCTCGTGCGACGGTGGCTCGTAGGCACGTGGCGACGTCACGATGACTCGCCACCAGTCCATGGCGGGGCCCCTTAGCAGCGAAACTGCATACCGAATCTTCGCGGCGTCCGACTCGACGTAGTTGGCGTCGAAGAATACGTTCATCGTGAAAACCCACGATTGAACCGTCGGGCCTCCGCGTTGGCTTGGGTCGAAGCAGGGCGGGCGTTGCGGCTTGAGCGGCATTGGTGCCATGATGGCCTGTTCACCACTTGTCGCCGCAAATTCCACGTGCCGACGGGCTTCTCGGGGCTCCCGCGGGCTTGGTGCGATCCTGTTTCCTCCCATGCCCGGCATCGGCTGGGCGGCGCCATCACTGGCTGCGCCTGAGCGTTGTCCCATGCTCTCGTGTTGTGTTGGTGTGCCGGACGAGATGACAATCGGCTCATCCGAATGTGCAGATACATTTGTGGGTGCGTGTGATGTCGCCGGGATGTTCACCGTGGATTGTTGACGGGCGGAGTCGCGTTCCGCCGTGAGTGTCGCAATTTCAAGCGCCGAATCTTCCAGTCGACGCACGAGACGATCAAGTTGCTCCTGCGTCAAAGTGGCGAGCGTGAAATCGGCCATGGCGGGGGTGTCGGGCAAGCTCAGCGAGAGCCTCTGTCGTGGCCGTGCGTGCTTACGAGAGAGCACTACGAGCGGCGGTGCTGTATCGCTGAGAGACGTCTACCCCCCCCAAAAATTGAGATAGTGGGGAAGCGAAGGTGTGGATGCGGTCCGAGATGAGATCGCAGGCTCTGAATACCAAGTGTTACGAGTGCAATTGAGTGAGCGAACGAGAATTGCACTATCGAAGCAAGAATACAATGAGCGAAGGCATGAGCGAAGAATATATAGCGAAACTACAGTGGTAACGGTAATGGACTGTGGTTGTCGCGCGACGAGCCTGGGACTGAGGTTGGGAAAATGTCGAAGCGTAGGCCCGGAGCGCGGGTTACCAGCCGAGCCGTGAGGTCGGGATGCGATGTGCGAAATTGGCGGGGTGATTGTCGATGCGAGGATCGTGAGTGGTAACGGTGCTGACTGAGGTGCTACAGTGATGTACGCATTGAGCAGGGATGCGAAGTAAGGAAAAGTGATTTTCCTTACACGTAAACTTGCTGGTGGTAGGTCTATATATTTTTGTGGGGATTGATAGAAATAGAACTTAGACATGCCTACTTCACATTACAAGACGAGATTTTTAGTTTCCAAACCTGGAGTTTGCCCTGTAGGGCATGAACCTAGGTAAATATTACATTACTTCAGCTCTGTCCTACTTGTATTCTAGAAGCATATTGTTCTCTGGTGCAAGGCCCACACACGCACGGAGAACATTCTCAAGCATCCCTCGTTGCTTGGCCAATGCATTCACGACAGGTGTGCCTGAGGGGACCTGCACACGACAGGATATTATTATGTCAGAAGCCAGGTGCAACATACCAAGAAAGCCAATCATCAAGTCTCAGAGACTTCCCACTGACTGGAATTACTGGCACAGCTACCGGTAGTCTATCTAGGTCAAGCACCAGGCTGGTCTATGGAAGGGATGAAGTATGGAAACATGATACTGGGACGAGCACCAGGCTGGTCTATGGAAGGGATGAAGTATGGAAACATGATACTGGGACGAGCACCAGGCTGGTCTATGGAAGGGATGACGTATGGAAACATGATACTGGGACGAGCACCAGGCTGGTCTATGGAAGGGATGAAGTATGGAAACATGATACTGGGACCAGGCTCGCTTCATAAGTCGGACAATGGAGTTGGGATGGCAGCTTGCACAAAAAACAGAAAAGCAGAAGAGGAAAGAAGACACTGCATGGAAAAACGTGAATTCCCCCCCTTTTTTCAGTACGGCTTGAGTTAGGAAAGGGGCGCATACCAGCGGCGCCTTGGAGAGGTAGCTGAGCAGCGACGCCACCGGATGAAACGAGTGGAACTCCTCCTCCTCCTCCCTGCGCAGCTGGATGCGAGTGAAGAGCTCCGCCAGCAGCACGAGGTCGAGGATGAGGGGGGCAGCAAGCAGCGAGTCCTCACACGTGTTGTGCATCACGATGGTGTTCTTGCCGCCCATGAAGATCTCCGATGTGTACTCGTCCATAGCCCGCTTGCTGTCGCCCACGTACGGCACGTACTGCAGTGGGAAGGAGATTGGAAGGGAGATTGGAAGCGAGGTGGGAAGAGAGATGGGAAGGGAGAGAGGAAGGGAGGCAGTGTAATGATAAGTTAGGGGACGTTGGCTTTTGATGAACTCACAAAGGGCACGCACTGCAGAAGGGATACTGTAAGGGAGATGGTGTGATGGAAAAGGGAGACGTTGTGGATGAACTGGAGAATGCTTTCAACCTGGGTGAACTTATGTTTTGTATAAATCGGTGGTTGTGTTTACTGCTCTCGTCACACCGAGAGGGGCCGGAGGCGGGGAAGGAAAGGGAGGAGAGGGAAAGGGGGGGAGGAAGGAGCGTACCTTAATGACAACGACGTGGTCGGGGTGCTGGCCCTTATCGTAGATGATGGAATTAGACGCCACCATGTCATCCACCACATTGCTCTTGGAAATCTCCTTGGACCGGAACGTCTGCGGCGCTGACAGGTTCATGCCGTCGTTGTTGCCCAGGTGGTTGTAGCTCACTATCGACATGGGCTGGAACGAGAGAAAGGTGGGGGGAGGGGGGGAGGGAAGGGGGTGATGCGTGGAGGGCGCAGGTGGGACGCTTAGACAAAGCCAGGACAGACAGGTTAATGCCGTCGTTGTTGCCCAGGTGGTTGTAGCTCACTATCGACATTGGCTGGCGGGAATAAGTGGAGCGGGAAGAGGGCGGGAGAGGGATGTCTGGAGGGAGAGAGAGCAAAGCCCTTGTTATTGCCCAGTCGATTGCAGCTTGTTAAGGGCAAAGGAAGGGAGGGAACGGTGTCGGGGAGGGAAAAGAACAGGGTTGATGAGAAGAGTGCGCTAAGGCCGACAAGAGAGAACAGACGAAAAAAATTCATGCCATTGCTATTGGATCAAACACTGCATCGGGGTGCCACGCAAATGCACAACACTCCACTTGCTGCATCAGTACTTAAACGCATGAAGTCGATATCCCTATTCTCTCGTTATACACGCGTGCTATAGTACTATCTGTAGCTTCCTGCTACCCGCGTTTCCACTATCGTTCAGCTGCAGCTGCACATTCGCCCAATCAACAATCACCCAGTACCTCTGAAGCCACCTTTAGCGGTACTCCTTTGCTCCTTTTTGCTATACCGTCATATCAAGATTCCTCAATATCGAGCTTCTGATTCACCAACCAGATTGCCTTCATCAGAAAATATAAGCTGCAACCCCGCGTTCAGCTAGATTTAATTTTTTGTATGAAAAAGCCCCTAGCTGGGCTCAGATTGACTCTTGTTTCCAAACCTCTAAGCCAAGCTGCCAGGCTCACCTTGATCCCTGCGCTGACGAGGAAATCCACGAGAACAGACTTCATCTTCGTCTGCCCGGATTTAAAATCGTCTCCGCCAATCAGGCTGTTGTTCTCCAGCGCGTATTCGATCAGCCCCGGAACGAACGTGTTCTGCGGGCTGCCGTTGATGAAGGGAACCTTTTCGTGGATGCACGCCGCGGCGTACAGCGTAGACGGGGAAATCTCGCGCTCATTGCGCTCGATCGCGTTGAAAAGGTTTTCTTTAGTGTCGTTGAGGCCGGTGCGCACGTCGCTGTAGCGCTCCGTGTTGGCCGTCCAGAGAACGACGACGGAGTCCACGCCGCTCGTCTCCTTGAATTTCCTGCGGCATGGTCAGGGAAAAAAAAAGTCGGCACGCAGATACAAAATCAGAGAAAGAAGGCGAGGAAGGTGGCATTCAGTGTCACAGTCAGAGACGGGAGACGGCGCGGGGAGCACGCGAGGGAACTGTCGCGTGCGAGAGGGGACGGCAGACGAGAGGGGACGGCAGACGAGAGGAACCGATCAGGCGAGGACGACAGGAACTGGTGTCAGCTCTCGACGACTATACTAAGAGGTGAAGAGAACTGAAAGAACGAACAAGTGATGAAGCGACAAAATGAGCAGTCTATAGCCAGCCAGTCCATTTCCGCACTAACCTGATATCCTGGATGATCTGCTGCATCTGCTCCTTCTTTGTACCCTTGATGACATTGTTGGCGCGAGCCTCTTGATTCGAGGCGATGAAATCTGGGTCGTAGATCCCCGGCAGGGGTGTCATGTCCTTCATGTGGCTGTAGAGCTGCTTCTGCAGATCAATGTCCAGAACCTTCGCCCTGGCCATGGCGTCCGCCAGGTTCATGCTTGAAATGTCCCAGCCGCCGAAAACAACATCATTCGGATCAACCTGGAAGGTGAATAACACGAAAAAACAGTGGCAGAGCCATCTAAAACACCTAGAAGTTGCCAAGACCACTAAACTCTAATGAAGTCCGGACTACGCTTTTCTTCATCGTGCTTCGGACTGGAATGTGGGAAAGAGAGATAGCATCATCACACACCATGGGGAGGAGGCTCTTAAAGGGGACGTAGATCTCCTCGCCCTTGTACGAGCCGACACGGCAGGTTGACGCCTGGGTAACTGAGCCGAAGTAGTTAGCAACTTGAATGCCATCCTTAGTCAGCCAGGAGATTCCTCTGCGAAGAACAAGGCCAGGCATACGGACTTCTGTTCAAACAAGGTTTCCTTGAGACTGGAGGTTTAGAAATGGATGGTCGAAGACCAGGAAAAGGCCACATATGGGGATGGTTGACAAGCGTAGGCCGTGTCTCTTACTCTCTATTGGCGATAACTCCAGCTGTCAAGGTGGAACCGTTATTGCCTCCCCAGCCTACAAGCATAACACTGCAAGAGAACAAAGCTATGTTAAGCCACATTTACAAAAAGTGTCGAAGTAAAAACTCATGTGATTGCGACAGAAACATGGCTTACCCTAACTTCGGGACTTTAGTCTGCGTCCTGAATTCATAATGCTTGCTGACTGGCTTAACCGTCCAATCGAACTTCCCATCCCTAACAGCACAGTCTAGGTCCGTAGTCTGGTACGTGTATTTCGAGGTGATGTACTCATCACCGTAAACAACATCCGGGCTCGCAACCTTGAAGCTTTCAACCAGCATAATGGCGAGTGATTTTAGTATTTACACAGCCTACGGATTGTGGAAAACGGGGACTCGGGAACAAATTTTCTGGTCCAACTCTAATTAGAAACAGCAGATCCGCCTCTGCTCTGTAGCTACCCAAGAACTGCAGAACGAGAAGCTAACAAGAACACCACCAGTCAACAATGACTGGTCAGTTTCCATTCAAACAACTTCGGGGTTTCTGAGGCTGCCTTCTTGAGGCACCTCATCGCTCGCACATCCTCTCTTCTTGTCCAAATCCGAGCCACAAGCACAACGGACCAGAAGGTTCGCAAGAGGGCTGACCACTAGGGCAAATCACAGCTTTGAGGGGAAGGGGGATAGGGTGGGATGGGAGATCAGGGAATGAGGGGAGGGGGAGCAACAAAGCCGTTTTCATTGGCTCCGCGAGCCTATGAAGCTCGCCCAGCCTCCTCTTTCACACGCCAAAGCGCACTGGCGGACACGCCCCTCCGCGGTTGCTGGAGGCTCGGTTCGGGGGGAAGTTGTCGGGCATCTGCGATTTGAGCGGAGCCTTGTGCCAATGAAAAGCTCACTATCTCCTTGGTTGGGGGTTATGGTCAGAAAAAATTCTGGCGGCTTACGAAGCTTGGGAGTGGCCTGGACAGAAGCTGCCGCAATCCCTCCAAACCATCGTGAAATCCTTATCGCACGGTTTGCTGAGAGCTACACTATCACGGGTCCAGCGATTGTGACACGTGGTTACGAACGTAAACAATGTAATTTACCCGCCAAATTTCCGTGCCTCGTATACGTCGAACATGATCTCTCATTGGTGGTTCAGGTGTAGGTGACTGTGCAATACAGTCAAACGAGGGAAATTCATGTTCGTGAATCGTGCAAATCCCCACAGCTCCAGCCATCTGGGAAGAATGTGACTGTATAAAATAGACGATATATGTAGAGAACCCTGGTAGATAGCTTTGGTTACATTATGCATTCCACCTTAACAATGATATTTGTTATATACACCAGCCACTTCAGGATGTAAAATTTTTGCTTCAAAAACTGGAAACATGTAAAATTGCTGCAAGTTTTCACAGCATGATTAATTAAACTACAAAGTAACAATTGGCAGAAAAAAACCATTATTTCTAGCTTTAGAGTTTAGGTACACCGAACACATGAAATTGCTGAGGTTTCCCGACACTTCGTCAACAGCAAGCTGCGAGAAAGATTCGCACGTCGACTGCGAATCAGCATGCGGGAATTCGCTCTCGAATGCGTCGCGTCGCTTCTAGAATCTCCATGTGGCCTCGCCAGGTCAGTCCCACGTCGTTGGCGAAGGCCCAGAAAGATCGCTGACTCGGCAATCTCGAGAAAGATCTCTTTCCTCTATCCACCCGCCTTCCCACCCCCCAAACTTGGCCTTGCGTTCACAAATTGGCTGCTCCAGGCAAACCGAAGTTGAATCATGTTTTACTGATTCGATCAAAGCTCGAGTTCTTCTCCCCAACTTTCCCAGACTTGCCAATAGGATCTGCCATCGGCTAAGCTGCTACCATCTGACCGTATCCAGCTTCCTGCTTAAGCTGCTGTTGTGAATACAATGGAGGAGGACATGGACTTCAACGCCAGCGGCGACATGCCTACGGACATCCCGATGGGGGGGGATGAGGAGGACGAAGCTACATACGCTCCGCAGGCGGAGGGAGAGGAGAAGGATTTGACCAGCGATGGCGGAGTAAAGAAGCTGATCGTGAAGGCCGGGGACGGCTGGGACAAGCCCGAGGCTGGAGATGAGGTGTCAGGTGAGGGTCGGAGATTCGAACCTCCTTCTATCTGGGATTCCATGGGGTTCCTCTGTCGTTTAATCTGAATCAAGACATATCGATCTGCTTAGCTGTTGTCATCCCAGCCTTTCAAGTATTATGTTTCCTAATCTTGTTCACCTATCGTTTTCTGCTTTCAATACCTCCATGCTCAAGCCGAGACTTACCTATTTTTTCGTCATATCTCGCCCCTCTTTCAGTTCACTACACTGGAACCCTTTTGGACGGGACCAAGTTCGACTCTAGCGTCGACAGAGGAGAGCCGTTCAACTTTAAGCTCGGACAAGGTAAACCAGGGCTGCCGAGCAATTCCCATGTCCAATTTAGTTCAGTTTCCTCCCTGTTTCCGGGGAATTGCTACTGCATGTGGCCGTTTTCATTCTTGCTTCTACGGCTTCTCCTGTCCACGGCGTGTGCGATGGCTCATATCTTATTCTCCGCGTTTCTCGTTACTGTCGCGTGCAGGCCAGGTCATCAAGGGATGGGACAAGGGTATCGCATCCATGAAGAAAGGCGAGAAGGCCGTGTTTACAATCAAACCCGAGTACGCGTATGGCGAGGCGGGTTCCCCGCCGACGATTCCTCCGAACGCAACGCTCAAGTTCGAGGTGGAGCTGCTGTCGTGGATCAGCGTGAAGGACATCTGCGGCGATGGCGGCGTGTTCAAGAAGATTCTCGTGGAGGGCAAGAAGTGGGAGACGCCTAAGGACATGGACAAAGTCACAGGTACGTCTCATTACGCGGAAGCTCCCAATAATAGAATCAATCCCAGAAGGCAAGAGGTATTTTATTAGAATCAAGCCCGAGTATGCTTATAGCGAGGCTGAGGGTGAGGCTGGCTCTCCGCCGACCATCCCGCCGAACGCGACGCTCAATTCCGAGGTGGAGCTGCTGTCGTGGATCAGCGTGAAGGACATCTGCGGCGATGGCGGCGTGTTTAAGAAGATTCTTGTGGAGGGCAAGAAGTGGGAGACTCCCAAAGACATGGACAAGGTCACAGGTACGCCTCACTGCGCGGAAGCTCCCAATATTAGAATCAATTTCAGAAGGCAAGAGGTATTTTATTGGAATCAAGCCCGAGTATGCTTATAGCGAGGCTGAGGTGAGGCTGGCTCTCCGCCGACCATCCCGCCGAACGCGACGCTCAATTTCGAGGTGGAGCTGCTGTCGTGGATCAGCGTGAAGGACATCTGCGGCGATGGCGGCGTGTTCAAGAAGATTCTCGTGAAGGGCAAGAAGTGGGAGACGCCTAAGGACATGGACAAAGTCACAGGTACGTCTCATTACGCGGAAGCTCACAGGTATCGCGTCCGTGGAGATTCACGAGAGGTTTGATTCTATTTTCAAGCCCGAGTAGGCTTTTATCGAGGTTGAGACTGAAGGTTATAACCCTACGTCCCAATCCACTTTGGCACGGTTCCCTTGTGCGTGCAGTGAAGTACGAGGCGCGGTTACACGACGGCACGGTGGTAACCAAGACGGGCGACGACGGCGAGCAGTTCTACCTCAAGGACGGCCACTTGTGCGCGGCTCTCCCGCGTGCAATCAAGACGATGCACCAGGGGGAGAAGGTCCTGCTCACTGTGAAGCCACAGTGTGAGTGTTCTATTCTATCTGTCGTTCTGCTCCTTGTAAAGCCATTTCGTGCGCGCTCCAGTGGATTATCAAGGCGATGCACCAGGGCGGGAAGGTCCTGCTCACGTGCTGCTTTCGCCCCTGATGCTCTCTGTATGCTGGCCAAAAAATTCACCGACACGTGTTTTGCATGCTCTTCTCTGGACATCAACAGACGGTTTTGGAGAAGCCGGCCGTCCAGAGACTGACGGCCAGCCGGCAATCCCGCCAAACGAGACGCTGAGCATCGACCTGGAGTTGGTGGCTTGGAGAAAGGTGGAGAAGGTTACAGAGGACAGGAAGGTCATGAAGGAGGAGATTGAGGCTGGGGAGGGGTACGAGCGACCCAATGATGAGTCAGTTGTGAAAGGTGAGAATGGGTTGGACTGGGTTGGGCTGGGTGTGGCTGGGCTGGGCTGAGCATTGACCTGGAGCTGGTGGCGCAGGGGAAGGTGGAGAAGGCGACAGAGGACGGGAAGGTCATGAAGGAGGAGATTGAAGCTGGGGAGGGGTACGAACGGGCTAACGACGAGTCTGTTGTGAAAGGTACGTGTTGTGCTGGTGGTACTTGCAGTCGGCCTCGGCTGGGCTGGGCTGGGCTGGGCTGGGCTGGGTTGCGGTCGGTTGGGCTGGTTAGGGATGGGCTGAGCATTGACCTGGAGCTGGTGGGGTGGAGGAAGGTGGAGAAGGTGACAGAGGACGGGAAAGTTATGAAGGAGGTTATTGAGGCGGGGGAGGGGTACGAGCGACCCAATGACGAGTCTGTTGTCAAAGGTGCGTGCTCTGGCAAAGTTGTGGTAGGAGTTGCTCTGGTAGAACTCGCTCTGGTAGGGGAGGGGTACGGTACGAGCAACCTAACGATGAGTCCATTGTCAAAGGTGCGTCCTCTGGCAAAGTTGTGGTAGGAGTTGCTCTGGTAGAACTCGCTCTGGTAGGGGAGGGGTATGGTACGAGCGACCTAACGATGAGTCCGTTGAGAATCCACCCATCCTGCTTGTGTTTTCTGCTGCTGAATTGTCGAGGTAAATGGTAATTGCAGGTGTGGGAATTCTGGCTGGGTTGGTTTTGGCTGGGCTGAGCTGAGTTTTGGCCCTAATATGTTTTGAGACGTCTCAAAACACTCCTTCTTTCACGTAGCTGAGTATTGGCCCTAATATGCTTGACTGTAAGCTTGTTAATTTGTGCTGTGTAGTCTTGGCATGCAGTGCAGTACTTGGTTCGTTTCCCTTGCATTTGAATCCACCTCTCGTTTTCCTTCCCCTCTTATTTCTCCTCATACCCACACACAGTGCGCTACACTCTGCGCCTAGAGGATGGGACAGTGGTGGAGGAGAAGGGCATGGGCGATGGGGAGGAGCCGTTTGAGTTCACCACGGATGAAGGTGAGTGGGTCTTCAGGACGGTTGGATAAAAAGGAAGCGGGGGGGGAGGGGGGGAGAACGGGGGGTTCTGCAACGATATGGAAAGTGGGGCTGGCTGTGTGCAAAGAAATGTGGAAATGGGGAAAGGGGTGACTTGCCACTGGGGCGTTGGGGAGGAAAGTGGAGTAGGCTGAGAAAGTCATAAGAGCAAGTCCAACTGAGAAACAGCTTTGCCCAACTGAGGCCTGTGGTTCTGTCGAATCCGTCCCCATCTGTCCCTTTGTCCCCTTCCCGTTTTGCTTCCCTTCAGAGCAAGTCGTGCCTGGGCTGGACAAGGCAGTGATGAAGATGAAGAAGGGAGAACTCGCAACCGTCACCATTGCCCCAGAATACGCCTATGGCTCTGAGGAAAAGACCCTGGAAAAAGGCACAGTACCGGCCAACTCTACACTGGTGTACGAGCTTCGGCTGGCGGAATTTGTTAAGGATAAGGAATCCTGGGAGCTAGGGGACGAGGAGAAGGTCGCGCATGCAGCGAAGAAAAAGGAGGAGGGTAATGTTCTCTTCAAGTCCGGAAAATACGTCCGGGCAGCAAAAAAATACTCCAAGGCGATGAAGCTGATCGAGTACGACACGCAGTTCAAAGACGAGGAGAAGAAGGCGTGCAAGGTGCTGAAAGTCTCGTGCGGGTTGAACGAGGCTGCGTGCCAGCTGAAGCTGAAGGATTTCCCGGCGGCAGTGAAGCTGACGAGTAAGGTGCTGGAGCTGGAGGGGTCGAACGTGAAGGCGCTCTATCGGAGGGCCCAGGCGTATATGGGGACTGAGGACTACGACCTGGCGGAGTGGGACGTCAAGAAGGCTCTTGATCTCGACCCTGAGAACAGGTGAGCACGGAGGGTGACCGTGGGGTAATGGGTCGACTGGATAGGCATGTCCGTATAATTAAGGGGGAGCCCAGGCATATATGGGCACGGAGGATTGCGACCTGGCGGAGTGGGATAGAAGGCTCTTGACCTCGACCCCACAGGTGAGCACGTTGGTGAGAATAGGGACTTTGACAGCAACTGCGCTGTATCGGTGCGCCCAGGCGTATATGGGGACGGAGGATTATGACCTGGCGGAGTGGGACGTGAAAAAAGGCTCTTGATCTCGACCCTGAGAACAGGTGAGTGCAGGGGGGTGACCGCAGGTGTGAGCGTGTGGTTATGGATCGACAGCACTTCCAGAGCAGAGCCAGAGGGAAGTCAACTTAAAAATTAACTCACAAGTTGTCCCCCTCCCGTTTTTTCCCCCTTGATTCCCCTACCAGGGACCTGAAGCTAGAGTATCGGCAGCTGAAGCGCAAGATTGCAGAGCAGAACCAGAAGGAGAAGAAGATTTATGGCAACCTGTTTGCACGGCTGCATAAACTCGAGGAGAAGGAGGGTGTGAAGCAGGCAGAGGAGGCTGCTCCTGCTGCTCCTGCTGATGGCGCTGCTGCTGCAGGTGGTGATGCTACTGAGGCGATGAAGGAAAACGTGCAGAAGGTTGATGAGGGTGTGAATGAGGGTGGGGAGGCGATGGCTGCATAGGTTGTTTGCTGTAGGCCTACGTTGTGAAAATCACCTGGTATATTCATCCTATCGAATGAACAGTTTCAAATGGAAGTTTATTTGTGAAATGGGATCAGATAAGATATGTGTGTGGACAATTTGTGGATATTGGAAGTCTGACCACAACACCAGAAGTGTGAGGGAGGGGGCGAAATGTAATGATTGCTTGAGACTAATTTAAGCTGGACTTTCAGACAGTTTCTACTGCATAACAGGGTAAATGCTCCGTGCTCAGCTACTTATCGAGGAAGAACATATCGAGAATAACAGATTCGCCTTGAAGGCAACCTTGACTTGGAATGAATGTTCAGTTGCGAGTTAGGACGGCATTCGGGACTACCGATCTGTAGTGCTTTCAAACCGTTGTTGAACGCGTCAGAACGTTCTGGAACATATTGTACCGTGCTTAACCTGTATTGACCTGTATTTTCGGCCGGCAATGTAGTGCCCAAAATCATGATTCCACGCCACGTTATGCTAAGTCAAACTGCGTGCACGAAAGTACGGACATTTCGAATGAGGTAGATACTGTACCACTGAAAACGGATGTACGGAACGCATCACTTTAAAATGCTCTCAATCGTGCGTAAACGTTTTGTACCGAACCAAAACCTTGTCATGAGGTGGAACGGAGCATTACATGATGGAATGGAAACAGCGGGGATTCACAGCTGGTAAATCGTTCATTCTCAGAGAATCTTCTCTATTTCTGCTAGCAGGAAGTTTTTTGCCATCTCTCCTTATTACTTCTTACAGTAACAGTACCCTCATTCTTGGAACACGTGCTGCTGTCATAGGCTGTCTCTGCGCACAATTGTGTCAGGCTAATCCGTGTTTCGTTACTTGACGGAACGAGACCATGCTCGCTCGACGGGCTTCCTCAGCTGTGCGGATTCTGCTGCTGGTCTGCGTTCCGTTTCTGCACGTGAGTTTCCTCGGAAATTTGGAGCCAACTTAGGAACCATGCTCAGCATAGATTATTTTTTCTATAAGAAATAATGTTGTAATAGTTGATTAGAAAATGGTTTATGTGAACCAAGTTCTCCTACTCTTCTCCTCTTCATTCCTCCCCCGTTATTGTCACATCAGGCTGGAAGTGCGGCCGCAGACGAGCGCGGTCACAACCGCGATGTGCTTGTGAGTGAATGAGTGGAGCGGTGATGTATTGATGTGATGATGAGAGTGAGCATGGTGTGATGATGTGATGATGAGAGTGCTGCAGTGTTGATGCCTGATGTCTTTTGAGGCGCCTCAAAGGCCGCAGACGAGCGCGGTCACAACCGCGATGTGCTTGTGAGTAGTTGGATGGTGTGGTGATGTGTTGATGTCAGTGCAGCATGGTGTGGTGATGTGTTGATGTCAGTGCAGCATGGTGTGGTGATGTGTTGATGTCAGTGCAGCATGGTGTGGTGATGTGATTGCACCATGATGGGATGATGTGTATCACTCACGAAATTACTGCACGGTGCAGCATGATGTGATGCTGTGAGTGTGGCATGATGTTGCGCTGGTGGTTCTCCCCACAATCTTGTTCTGACTTCCACCTGACTGGCACCTGACTGGCACCTGACTGGCACCTGACAGGCACCTGAATGCCACCTGTCTACCACCTGACTGGCACCAACCCTACTCGCATGCACCAGCAGGGTCTTTATGTTTCCTCTGCTCGCCCGAACCACCAACATCCTTTCTCCTTCCCTTGCCCCTTCCACCCTCCCTCCCCGTCCCCTCTTCCCCCGCCGCGCCCACCCGCCCTCCCCCTCCCGCCTAGGCCCCCCCCTCCCCCACACCTTTTTCCCCTTTCAGTCGCGAGCCATCATCGATGCTTTCGGATTCCCCGACCACCTCTGCGGCACATGGCACCACAACTACACTCGCATCGCATGCACCACCAGGGCCTGCATGCGGTCTTCATGTTTCCTGTGCTCCTCCCCATTCCCGCAATTTCCTCTCTGCTTTCCCCTCTCCAATCCGATCCCCCACCACTCCACCTCTTCCACCTCCCCTTCCCCCCACCTTCCCCCCCACACACCTCCCTTCCTTCAGTCGCGAGCCATCATAGATGCTTTCCCGGATGTCCCCACTCTCGTCAACTCCGGATTCCCCGACCACCTTTGTGGCACGTGGCACCACAACAACACCCGCATGCACCACCAGGGTCTTAAGCTTCCTCTGCTCGCCCGAACCACCAACATCCTTTCTCCTTCCCCTTGCCCTCTCCACCCTCCCTCCCCCTCCTCCCTTCCCCCGCCGCACCCACCCACCCTCCCCGTCCTGCCTTCCCCCCCCCCCTTCCCCCACACCTTTTTCCCTTTTCAGTCGCGAGCCATCATCGATGCTTTCCCCGACGTCCCCACTCTCGTCAACTTCGGATTCCCCGACCATCTGTGCGGCACATGGCACCACAACTACACTCGCATGCACCAGCAAATCCGGGCAGCCAGCAAAAATCCCTCCTCTGCCCCGCCGCCCGACACGCCGCCCGTGAAATTTCTCACCTTTGACGGCCTCAGCCACTGCGACAGCCTCGGGGAGACCCTCATGGGGCTGACGTCAGCGTTCACTGTAGCTATCCTCACTAACAGGGCCTTCGTTATAAAGCACCCGTGCATCCCCATGGCTTTTGAACCGGCGCTGATCGACTGGCAGCCCACAGAAGACGTGGGATTCGAGCCGGTCAGAAACGAAACTTTTCCGCTGAAACCTCCTGACCGGGCGGTCGATCCTCCAATAGGAGCGAGTGATATCATGGAGATCAACCTGGAAAAAGATGACAGGGCGAACCCGGAGAAGGTGTTTCCGCAGGTTGAAGCTGCGAGGAACCTGCGTGTGGTGTGGAACAGAGACCTGCTGGTGCATATGCTGAAGGATGTGAAGGGATCGGCATGGAAAGACAGACTCACAGAGATGGGCATCAGTATTCCGTATTCGTTCGGGTGCTTGGTGCGATACCTGCTAAGGTGAGAGATGGTGAGATGGTGAGATGGTGAGATGGTGAGAGGTGGGAGGTGGGAGGTGAGAGGTGAGAGGTGAGTGGTGGGATGGGAGGGAGGACATGGCTGGGTGTTTGGAGGGTTCACAATAAGCCTCGTTGATTCCCACCCTCCGTATGCCCTTCATGTATCCTTTCTCTTTCCCTTTCAGTTTCCTCTTTCCCTTTCAGTTCCTTCTTTCCCTTTCATTTTTCTTTATCCTTGTCAGTTTCCTCTTTCCTTCTCAGTTTCGCCTATCCTTTTCCATTTCCCCATTGTCTCTCCTCGCCAGGCCCAAGCCGGAGGTGTGGCACAGGATGCAGCCGTTTGAGAAGCAGCTGAGGGGCGACAAGGTGGTGAGCATCGGCATGCACGTGAGACAGTTTGGCCAAGGCCCCGCCCGCCCCAACGCCACCGTTAGCGCAGAGGAGCTGCAGAAAGGAATGAACGACTCAGTGCGGCCGGCCTTTCAGTGCGCTGAGGTGAGGGTCTGTCACTAAAAGGGGAGACAAGGTGGTGAGCATCGGCATGCACGTGACGCAGTTCGGCCAAGGGCCCGCCCGACCTAATGCTGAGGGTAGTCCCCCTCCCCTCCGCTCTGAAAAGCAGCTGAGGGGCGACAAGGTGGTGAGCATCGGCATGCACGTGAGGCAGTTCGGCCAAGGCCCCGCCCGGCCCAACGCCACTGTCAGCCCGGAGGAGCTGCGGAGAGGAGGGTGATTGTTCTCGTTGCCCACAAAACCCTATACCCTGGTGGAACGCAATCACTCCTTCTCTCCCTCCTTGCTCGTACACCCCCATCCCCCCGAACCAACAGAATGTGCAGAGCTGGTGGTATTCGTCAGCCCTCACTGTGATGTGAAGTGGCTCGCTATTGGGTCTGTCTTTTGAGGCGCCTCAAAAGCCCTCACTGTGAAGTGGCTCGCTATTGGGTCTGTCTTTTGAGGCGCCTCAAAAGCCCTCACTGTGAAGTGGCTCGCTATTGGGTCTGTCTTTTGAGGCGCCTCAAAAGCCCTCACTGTGAAGTGGCTCGCTATTGGGTCTGTCTTTTGAGGCGCCTCAAAAGCCCTCACTGTGAAGTGGCTCGCTATTGGGTCTGTCTTTTGAGGCGCCTCAAAAGCCCTCACTGTGAAGTGGCTCGCTATTGGGTCTGTCTTTTGAGGCGCCTCAAAAGCCCTCACTGTGAAGTGGCTCGCTATTGGGTCTGTCTTTTGAGGCGCCTCAAAAGCCCTCACTGTGAAGTGGCTCGCTATTGGGTCTGTCTTTTGAGGCGCCTCAAAAGCCCTCACTGTGAAGTGGCTCGCTATTGGGTCTGTCTTTTGAGGCGCCTCAAAAGCCCTCACTGTGAAGTGGCTCGCTATTGGGTCTGTCTTTTGAGGCGCCTCAAAAGCCCTCACTGTGAAGTGGCTCGCTATTGGGACTGTCTTTTGAGGCGCCTCAAAAGCCCTCACTGTGAAGTGGCTCGCTATTGGGTCTGTCTTTTGAGGCGCCTCAAAAGCCCTCACTGTGAAGTGGCTCGCTATTGGGTCTGTCTTTTGAGGCGCCTCAAAAGCCCTCACTGTGAAGTGGCTCGCTATTGGGTCTGTCTTTTGAGGCGCCTCAAAAGCCCTCACTGTGAAGGGGCTCGCTATTGGGTCTGTCTTTTCATCAACAAAACGTTGCAATTCCTTCAGTCCTCTTCTTCCCTTCCTTCTCTCCCCCTCAACAACAGAACGTTCAGAACTGGTGGTACTGCTCGGTCGGCCCTCACTGTGAAGTGGCTCGTTGAATATCAACCCCCTTCCTATCAATCAGTCCAGGCCTCTCCCCCCTTGCTCTTGCATCTCTACCTCACAGCAACAGAACGTGCAGAACTGGTGGTACTCTCCTCAGCCCTCACTGTGAAGTGAAGTGGCTCGTTATTAGCAACCCGGTGCAGCTCATGCTGTCCACCTTTCCCCCTTTGCTTGCGCACACGCGCCCCCCCCACTCTCCCACTCTCCACCCCCCCAAAACAACAGAATGTGCACAACTGGTGGTACTCGTCAGCCCTCACCGTGAAGTGAAGTGGCTCGTTGAAAAGTCCACCCACTCCCTATCAATCAGTCCACCTCTCTCCTCTTGTTCCCGCATGCCCATCCCACAACACCAGAATGTGCACAATCGGTGGTAATTATCAACCCTCACCGTGAAGTGAAATGGCTTGTTATCAGGCTGATTTTTGAGTCGACTCAAAAATCAAATGGCTCGTTGTCAGGCATGTCAGTAGCCACGCAGAGTCCTCACACCCCCATCTTGATGCACCCCCATCCCCCAAACCAACAGATTCTGGAGAACTGGTCGTACCGAAGACTAATGATGTGAAGAGGCTCGTTATCAGGCATGTCAGTAGCCATGCGTTACAGCTCAGGCAATCCACATTTCTCTCCTTGCTCCTGCATCCTCATCCCAAAAACAACAGACTGTGCAAAACTGGTGGTACTCATCGGCCCTCACTGTGAAGTGGCTCGTTATAAGCGACTCGCTGCAACTCAAACAGGAGGCCATGAAAGGAAACGAGTCTAAGGTAATGTGATTGTAACTCGTCCAAGGTGATGTGACTATAACGAGTCCAAGGTGATTTGGCTATAACGAGTCCAAGGTGTTTTGGCTATAACAGGTCCACGTGATGTTTGATGAGGGAAGTTTGCACGTTCCAGCCTGCATGTTCGAGTCGACTCAAAAGAGTTGAATTTCGAGACGACTCAAAAGAGTTGAATTTCGAGTCGACTCAAAAGAGTTGAATTTTGAGACGACTCAAAAGAGTTGAATTTCGAGACGGCTCAAAATAGTTGAATTTCGAGCCGACTCAAAAGAGTTGAATTTCGATCAAAAGAGTTGAATTTCGAAACGACTCAAACGCCAACTGAAATGGTAAAGTGATTTGGCTCTGCTACTCCCCCCACCACCACTCACCCCACTTTCGTTTCTGGTTGTCAGCACCGAGTTCACCCCATGGGCGTCAGCCTGTAATGACCAAGGCCCCTCAAACAAAACTCATAGCCCTTTCCTCCCCATAGGTCCTCCCTCCGTTACCCACTTTCGTTTCAGGTTGTCATCACCGAGTTCACCCCATGGGTGGATCCCATCCCCCTTCCGGTTGCTTTCTTATTCTCTAGACTTACTCACCCCCTCCCCGTGTTCCCCCCCTTTCCTTTGCAGATTGTAATAACCGAGTTCACCCCGTGGATCCTTTCCCCCTTCCTCAGCATCCGCCCCGTCCAATGCCCCCTCCTACTCCCCTCTACTCCCCCCGGTACTCCTGCCCTTCCCCCCCACTTTCCTTTGCAGATTGTAATAACCAAATTCACCCCGTGGATCTTATCACCCTACCTCAGCATCGCCCCCTCCTTAGTAATATCTCTTCAACCCCTCCCTGCCCATGCTCCCCCCCTCTCTGCAGATTGTCATCACCGAGTTCACCCCATGGATCCCATCCCCCTACCTCAGCATCCGCCCCCCTCCCCCTTCCCCTCCGCCTCCTCCTTCCGATTCCACCCCCCCCACGCCCACCCCAACCGGCCCCCCTCTCCCTCCCATCCCCACCATTCAAGAATTCCAAGAGACAGTCACCGAGTGGCTTCTGCTCTCCTCCTGCGACTCGTTTGTCGTTTCGCCCTCCGCCTTTGGCCGTACGGCGGCTATGTATTCAATGCAGCCGATGAGTATTTACATGACGCACTCGTGCCGGCCACAGGCGCCCGTGCCCATCAGTACTCTCGTCTCCTGGTCACGGCGACAGTTCTGAGCGTGCTCACATCTGTTAGTTGCCTTACGGGTCCCTTTTGACAGCTATGTACTCAATGCAGCCGATGAGTATTTACATGACGCATCCGTGCCGGCCACAGGCGCCCGTACCCATCAGTACTCTCGTCTCCTGGTCGCGGCGGCAGTTCTGAGGCCGTTGTTGACCTCCCGTTGGCCGTACGGCTGCAATGTACTCAATGCAGCTGATGAGCATTTACATGACTCACTCATGCAGACCACAGGCGCCCGTACCCATCAGTAGTCTCGTTTCCTGGTCACGGCGGCAGTTCTGAGTGTACAGCCTCCCTGCATTCAATGTACCATCAGCATTTTTATCCACAGGTCACACAGCGGCAGTTCTGATTCTCGTTCCGTAAAAGGCTTGACCAGGTTGCAGTTGGGTTCCCTTGGCGTTCATCCGTCTATGGGCTGGGCGATCATCATCGTGTATTCAACACAGCATTTACCGTAAATGTCTGCATGGTGGCGCAATCGCATCTATCAGGTTTCCCAAGTTGCCTTTGTACCCAATGCTGCACCGTCCACATGACGCATTTGTGCAAGCACTGTGACCCATTCCTGTCATCAGTCTAGACAACCACTCAAAGTGGCAGTTCCGCGAGCCCACTGTGTTGCATTGTACTGATGTATCCTGCTTCTGTATCCTATGTAGCACACAGCAGATGAATGCAACAAGCTGACTTTCAAGTCAATTTAAAAGACTGTGTGACACTGTTGCATTGTATGATGTATTCTCCTGCATTGTGAAAGTGTACTTAGGCTGACTGGCAAAGGCAGCGTTATCATTTCATATGGAAGGCAGCGTTATCATTTCATATGGGTTGTAGTACATCGTTCTCGTCTTATATATGTCTACATAACAGCATACACAAATGGGTGGGCGGGTGGGAAATTAGAACTACAATTTTGAAAATGAAAACGTGGGTGGGGACGAATGTCCCCACGTCCCTCTTTTGTAGGCAAAAGAGGGTGAGTAGCGCTTCGGCGCTACCTTTGCTGTGTTGGCCACGTACCCCTTTTCACAATACAAAATTTTAGAAAGTGTTACATTTCATTACACTTTCAAAAATTATCATATTGTGAAAGTGTACTTAGGCTGACTGGCAAAGGCAGCGTTATCATTTCATATGGGTCTTCTGAGGCAAGTGTAGTCGGGGCTGCCGGTGGCGTTCGATGGATAGCTGATGCGTAGCGGGCGAGGGAGCCGTCGAAGGATCCTGCAATTGCGTAGAGAGGGAGATGAGCTGATCCTGCGCGATTGTAACGTACATCTCCTTCGCGCTGTCGCTGCGCCATCGGCCCATGCGTTTGAAGAGCCGGTCAAGAACTCCGAGGCTCGCCGCTGCAGTGGCTGCGCCTTTGCGGAATGAGTGGGTTCCGATGTGCGCGACATCCAGTCCAGCTTGCCTGCCGGCTGCGAGGCACCAGTTTCTGATCGTAACGTAGGATGGCGATTTGTCGTTCGGTGTGGCTTGTGAGTTCTTTGGGAAAACCCTTATCAGCAGTCCATGGGGCACCTTTGTGAGGCCTGCGATGTGTATGAATGCGCGCGTGCACCTCACCGGGCAGTATGGGCCTGGAATTGCCGCCACGGGGATCCAGACTCCCCTCCCCTCCTGGTCCGTCTTGGAGTGCGGAATGAGCAGCCACATTGCCTTCTCCTCGAACTGTACGTCATTCCATTGGAGCGAGACGAGGTCGGAGTAGCGCAAGAATGCCGAAAACATAAGAAGAGGAATCAATACTTTCTGGTATTCCGCAGGAATTGATGATTCGAGGAAGGGACGAGCCATGTCGTACACTTGATGGAGAGATATGGGCTCTTTGGTTCTTGTAGGGCGGGGACCATGTCTCTTGGCGAACTCCCGCACTTGCAGGGTGAGTGGGCCGGCGGTAGGGGAGGTTTCGCCTGTCATGCGGTGGGCAAAGGCTAC